AATCATTATTCACTCCAACATTCATCCATAGAGGAATTCTGCCAGTAGTAAATGCAGTTAAATAATGTAAAAGAGTCATTTAGAGGCAGATTCAAATTTAAAAATAAAAAGCAGGAAACTGAATGGATATCAAAGTTCTAGAAAGGATTAGTTCATGTGAACTATAAAGAGAAGAAACACAAACCATAAACCTAACAGGATAAGAAATGAGTGGCTGGATCAGTAAGACGAAGTAAACACTTAGTGAAAAGACCACTAGGGACGAAGTAATCACCAAGCTGTTATTCTTGTTATTTCAAACTTTGATATAGTTCTCTAAAAAAACATGTCCCCAAGCAAGTATAGTCTGTCCACCCATCCCTCAACCTTTTTTGTCTCTGTATCTACCAGCAACACCTTTAACCAGATCTGGTTAAGTTCAAACCTGGTCTCTCCATTAGTTCAATCTATAAGCAACACCAGACTCTTCCTCCAGATACGTCAATTTCCAACCTCATACTACTCATAAAAGCCTTCTGATAGTTGTAGATGCTCTGTGGCTCCAGCACACTCATCCGTTGACTTCAAGACGCTCTATCCCCTGCTCCCAACCCACCCAACCAGCCTCACATACTCTTTTTTTTAAATCTTCATTCTTCCCAGGAAAATCTTATAATTTTTCATATATGGTCTTTTTGCTTTCACCTTCTAACATTTATTCATGATGTCCCTTACACCTGGAAGAACCTGCTCAGCCAATATGTTAATACATAGTTCTTCAGTACTTGGACTTGACTCAAAATACTTCTATGATGAACCCCAAATCACTTTTCTAGTCCACTTTATTCTTATGTGCTGAATTTGTTTCTAGTTATGTTAATGTTACATAAATCAAATATTCAAAAAGCCAAAATAGGCTGGTTCTGAGATTGATTTTTATAGAAATTAGCTGGTCGATCAATAAGCTTTTACAGCATATAAGGCTTGAGTAAACGGCACAGAAATCCATTGTTAATACAAATTACAAGTTCCACAACTCTCATTCTAAATGTCTTTCCAAAATATTGATTTACCAAACACACTGGATATCAGCTAGTAGAAGTAGTTAATGTTTAGATTACCTTTAACCAAACTGCCTATTAACCTTGATTTAGAATTTAGCCATATTGTACACATAAGTGAACTTTCATCACCACTAAATTACAGAACCCACATAAACTCTGTAATACTTCGTATTCAGTGTGTAATGAATATTGATGATTATGCGCTAGTTAATATGCTAGTTAAAAAACTAGAAAAGAATAAAGAAAATTACAAACAAATTCTCCTCTGTTTGCCATTTGTGCTAATTCCAACTATGCTAGTAGTGGCAAAGTCACTGTCATTGAGAAGGGCAAGAAGAATGAAAAGGACTTATGCCAGTTATTTCATTCCACATTTGGTGGGAAGAGGGTGCGGCACAAGAATCTTTCTGAAAACAGTACATGGAAAGTCAACGTAGGCACTGAACTCATTTCTGTTTTCACCAAAATTTTACTGTAAATAATATAATAGCGGAGAATAGGTATCATTATTAATAGCATCATCTCACGGGATCTGAAATATCATTTTGGGTCTTGGAACAAATATGAACAAATATAAGAAAGCACTGTAGGTCAACATCAAGTCAAAACAGAGTGGGAAGATATTACAAATGGGGTACAGATAATCTTAGATTTCTTATTTATTGCCCCACACTAATATGGATAACTTCATCATCAATGAGATACAGGAATTTAATAAAATGTGACAGGCTGTGGAAAGAATCAGAACCCTATATTTTGCCTTCAGCTCAGGTCATGATCCCAGGGTCCTGGGATGGAGTCCCACATTGGGTTCTCTGCTCAGCGGGGAGTCTGCTTCTCTCTCTCACTCTCCCTTTGTGTTCTCCCTCCCTCTCTCTCAAATAAATAAATAAAAACTTAAAAAAGGAACCTTATATTCTACAAAATAAAAGCTTTAAAAGAATAAATGATGACCACACATATACAATTTAGTAAGAACTCAGAATTTCATAATGAAAAAATTATCAGGGTTCTATTTTTTTAAACCTCGAATCACTTGTGCACAAAAAAGAAGGAAAAGGGCTTCCTACAGACCGATTAACTCTATTAAAGATTTTGGCTACTTCCTATTCATGGTCAAACAATGAATTACCTGATAATATTTTAAACAAAATAAAACATTTTCACACTGGTTAAGCCTCCTTCCAGTCACTCTAATTAATACAGGACAATTACAATAAAAGGTATCATAATGCCTCTGCCAACGCTGACCAAAAATAAAACCAGTTTCCAGTTTATAGGAAATAAAGTGAAAGGAAGGAGTATGAAAGGATTAAACTTAAACAGTTACCAAGAGGAAATAGACAAATTTAGGAAATGGTGGATCCTTGATTGGGCAACTGTCCTGGACTTTTAAAAAGTCAATGTCATTAAAGAAATAAAAGGGGAGAACTGTTTTACTCTAAAAGAGACTGTAGGGCGCCTGGGTGGCTCAGTCGGTTAAGCGACTGCCTTCGGCTCAGGTCATGATCCTGGAGTCCCGGGATCGAGTCCCACATCGGGCTCCCTG